TTCATTTTAAAATTGGCTGAAGTGAGGCAGAATGGTAATGAAATGGAGAATTTGCTACTCTCTCTTTCTGTCGGTAGTGCTGTGATGAAGCTGGTGGTCAGCAAAGCAGTTCAGTTCACCGTTCTAGTCACAAAGCACTTTGATAATCCCAAACTCAGATGCCTGCGAGGTCACTGCCATGATTACCATTTCCATCATCAAAATAATGAAACTGAGATACAACAAAAGATTTTGAGAAACATCTCCCAAAGTCTTTAGGTAGGTGGCAGCATAGCAGTAAAAACAAGTTTTCTGATTATATGCCCCAAGCTTTTGCTTAATCTAAATTTCTTTAAAAATCTGAAGGGCCTGTGAATACAGAGTAGTTTCTTACAGAGTAGTAGAGAGTAAGTAGTACTTACTAATGTAGTCAGTGAATATACATTATTTGGAAAATGGCAGAGAATCACAATTCTTATCTACCTCAACTGTTTTTAAACATTCATAGAAATTTAATCTGTTAATAATTGAGTTTGGGAAGGCTGGAGCACTTTAAAAAAATGAGCTATTTTAGTGTCACAGGTAAGAAAAAGAAGAGACCAAAGCTCATGAATTGCTGCATTACTCTTATCGATTACAAAAGAAATAAGAAATTTAGTGCTGCTAAAACTGGGCTTCAGAATCATTTTCATGACAACCCATACACCATCCCTGAATTTCCTGAAAGAACATCTTTAAGTAACGACTGGAGTCAAATATGATTCTTTCAAAGGTTTTCCTTTAAGTAATTTTATTAGTGAAATTATGGTTTAAAGATAGATAGATATAGATATCTTTAAAAAAAAATATATATATATATATATATAGAGAGAGAGAGAGAGTGTGTGTATATATGCACTATATGTATATTTTATTACTATGTATAGCAACAAAAAGAATGTACTCTGATTCTCACCCATAATGTTTCTGTAGATGTTTCATTTTTGGCTTTGATGAAAGCAAGCAAGCAAAAAGATGAATTACTTCATCTAATTATCTTCTCCTTAAAAAATAACTCTTTAAAGTGTTAATTAATGCTTTCTAAATAAATCTATACATATATAGAATGAGAGAATAATATATTCAAGGAATTTGTTGTATTTATCTTATTAATGTAGAATGGTAAAAGTTCTTTCAGTGTATGATAATACTGTAATAAAGTTACAAGACTGGGTCTTTTTTAATACCAGAACTTGTATTTCCAAATGAGTGTTTCAAAATAGGGTAGAATATACATACACAAATGAAAGTGAATGATGTTGTCAGCCCCCCGTACACATTCTTATAATGCTGCCATTGTTGAAGGTTTTTAACTTCTTCTTTTAAAATTACTTTCAAAGTTAGTGACACGTGTTTTTAAATGAATGTAATGTGGGCAAACACTCATTCTCTTGGCAGTCTTTTATTTTTGGAACAATAAAATACTCATTTGTTTCCAAGTCTAGTAATTATTGGGAGTCTCTGGAATTATATTTAGAAGTCTGTACTTCACAGTCAAAGAAATCTTAACTTGAGAGTTAAGACATCTGTAAGTCTTAAGACGAAAGCAATTCCAGACCTGACAGGTATGAGTTTTCCCCATTCAAGGGTTTTATCAGGTTGTTTGTTTGGTGGAATGTGAGTAATGAAAGGTGGAGGAGTGGGTGTATTAACAGCATAGTCTTCCCATGGCCTTCTATACCAACAGCGAAAACTATTTCAACTGCATAGATATTTCCCATCTTGATTTCTATTGTCAGGATTATAGGTTAAAGCATACATATCATTCCCATTCACAATAATTCTAACAGACAGGCACCAAATGAATTTCCTGAACCAAAGCGTTTCTCAATTTACATTTCCTCAGTTCATGCACCTAAAAGCCACACAAGTTTGTGTTAAATCTTTCTTAAGACAAGACTTGTAATATTTTTAAGTAATGATGAAGAATGTGATAGCCTAAGCTGAGGAAAAAATAGCATTTCTCTAGTTAAAATTTAATTTTATTTGAAATTAAATTACCTATTCATCATAATTAGTATTAGTTAGATCACACTGTTTGTTAGAACCTTTATACATAAATAGAAGCTTTTGGTGTGAAATGGTACTAATGATAGAGAACTTTCTTTTCATCTAAAAGAAAAAAATAGTGACATTATTCTGGTTTTTGGTTCCACAATAAGGTTATTTGTTAATGTGAGGATCTTCATTCCTTAAAAATAAATTACTGTATTACTGGCACTCAGTCCAGGGTAGAACTACTTAGCCTCTCCATTCATCTAACAATATATCAAGGATGTATTATTTTCTTTTGCTTTTTCTTTTTTTTTTTTTTTTAGACGGAGTTTCGCTCCTGTTACCCAGGATGGAGTGCAATGGTGCGATCTCGGCTCACCACAACCTCCGCCTCCTGGGTTCAGGCAATTCTCCTGCCTCAGCCTCTTGAGTAGCTGGGATTACAGGCACGCGCCACCATGCCCAGCTAATTTTTTTTTTGTATCTTTAGTAGAGACAGGGTTTCACCATGTTGACCAGGATGGTCTCGATCTCTTGACCTCATGATCCACCCGCCTCTGCCTCCCAAAGTGCTGGGATTACAGGCGTGAGCCACCGCGCCCGGCCCCAAGGATGTATTATTTTCAATTAACAGCATCAACTAACGGACCCACCATGAAGTTGATTAATCTGAGGCCTAATTCCACAAGAATTTGAGACAAATAAAATTGAAGTGATAAATAATAAAATGAATGTAAATATATGAAAAAACAATATTTAAAAAAAATATTTTCTCTGCTCTTAATATACTTCCACCTGCTGAACAAATTTTTCTGCTTAATATTCTTTAATTCAAATTCTTTTGTATAAACTTAAGTTGAATTTATAGTTCATCCAGGAGTCTTAATGGAGCAAAGATGCAAAAAAAAAAAAAAATCACCAAATTGTTATTCTATGTAAGCAAAATGACTACCATTGCTATAAATCTTGTTGGGGGTGGGGGAAATCTGGAGTATTGATTATTTACCATTACTTCATCTAGTATTGTGTTGTGGTAGTGTTAGAGTGGGAAGAAAGCTAGAGCTAGACATTAGCAGAAGCTAGAGCCCCTGAGATAAAGGCGGTCTGGAAAATCTCACACTCCAGAGAGCGTCCGAAACATGCAGGCAGATAGGAGCAGGAGGGAAAAAATCTATATATGAAGTAGTGCCCCTTAAGATACCCAGTAATCACTCACTCTGCAGTTAAAATGTCAGAATGTCACTGGTACATGCTAATAAGAGGGAAGCGCTCAAATCTGTCAGAGATTCACAGGCACTGTAAGCATAGATTTGACCCATTCAAAGGACTTTCCTGGGGGTGGCGGTAATGAGGAATGCCGCCATTAAACTTGGGAGCGCAGGTGTGTGCACCAACTAATAGTAAGGGAGGGTCCCACAAGCCCAGAGTGGGAACTAGATGGGGAAAAGTCAGGCAGGGATTTAAGGCAGGAAAAGGAAAACTAGACAGAGAAAAAAGGCAGAGACTTAAGAAAGAGGAACTCTAGGAAAACTCCAACACCATCAAAACCCAACACAGAACTCCCAGGCTGCTGATGGCTCACCCTCTTGCAGCAGCCCATTTGGCCTCATCTTTCAGTGTGCTCTCTCTCTACGTATAAACTCTCTGCTCTCGATTTCCCTTCAATAAAGTTCTCTGTCATCTGAATTTTCACTTGGCTGAAACTTTTCTCCCAAAACCATTAAGAACCATGGATTCCCTTACTACCTAGTAACAGAGGCACTTTCACAGGCTGCTACTACTAACAGCATATTATTCACCTTCACAAGCTGCTACTACTAATAGCACACTATTCACTATGTCCAAAATAATTTGTATATATTAACACATATAACATTCACAACATCCTATAAGAAAAAGCCACTGTTGTCCTTTCACAGATGAAAAAATAGAGGCACAGAGTAGTTAAGTAATAGACAAAAATTACATTTATGAAAAGACCAAAATGTTTCATTGAAAAGAAAATCTGTAAGACAAGGACAAAAATGATCTGTGTTTGCAATGAGCAAGTCAGAGATACTCCTGATAAACATTCCTTCAGATGGATTAGGCTGCAGACTCGATGCCCCCTCTAAAATCTTGCAGTGGCTGAAAACATTATGCTTTTTCCAAGCAAGCAAATTTCATTTTATACTGGGAGACTATACAAACACAGATTACGCAGAATAATAACTTGAATGCACAAATGCACAGTAAGGAAATATATTGTTTTGAAGTTAAAAGGATTAAGTATTTAACTGAAATTTTAATTAGAACCCTGAGGAAATAATCATTTTTACTGAAAGAAATTGAATAAATATATTTATTAAAAACAAAGAAGGAAACTGCTCACCTTTTCATTAATTTATAACTCAGAACCAAAGTCTTATGGGCCTTGAATATGCTCATTTATTAAAAGAATTGTTAGCTGGATCTAATTGATTGCATGTAATTCATTAAACTAAACATTCAACAATTTACTTAATTTCTAGTACTAAGAATTGCTCACTTACTGGGGATAAAACTGGGTTATCAGATTAGAATGCACTTATCAAGTCTTAAAATTAATCCAAGGTACTCAATGTTAAATGATAACTTTTATTACAAAACTACTTGGAGCAGTACTATGCTGAGCTTTATAGTTCTCTTTAATTACTGTTTAGATTTTTTTCCTTTAGAAATGTTAATATTAAATTTTGTATAAATAATAGATGTCATAAACATCAACACTATTAATTTTTGTTGGTAGATTATTAACTGAAGATATTTTTAACAAAATTTTAACTTTCAATAAGAATTCAAGAAGGAAGCAGCTCAGCCATTTTGTGAAGAGACGAACACTGAGTGGTTGTGTCTGCGTTGCCGACCTCCAGCAGCAGTCAGCCTCTGCACGTAGAACCTGGGAGTAGGAGACTCAGAATCGAATCTCTTCTCCCTCCTCCTTCCTGTTTTCAGCTTTGTGACAAACCTTATCATCAAACACAATGGCCAGCAACATTACCAACAAGACAGATCCTCACTCCATGAACTCCCGAGTGTTCATTGGAAATCTCAACACTCTCGTGGTCAAGAAATCTGATGTGGAGGCAATCTTTTCGAAGTATGACAAAATTGTGGGCTGCTCTGTTCATAAGGGCTTTGCCTTCGTTCAATATGTTAATGAGAGAAATGTCCGGGCTGCTGTAGCAGGAAAGGATGGCAGAATGATTGCTAGCCAGGTTTTAGATATTAACCTGGCTGCAGAGCCAAAAGTGAACCGAGGAAAAGCAGGTGTGAAACGATCTGCAGCGGAGATGTACGGCTCCTCTTTTGACTTGGACTATGACTTTCAACGGGATACAAGGTCAGAAGTCGAGGCAGCAATTAAGAGCCAACCACACAAAAAAAGCCCAGGTCCAGATGGGTTCACAGCCGAATTCTACCAGACACACAAAGAGGAGCTGGTACCATTCCTTCTAAAACTATTCCAAATAATCCAAAAAGAGGGAATACTTCCCCAATCATTTTATGAGACCAACATCATCCTGATACCAAAACCCAGCAGAGATCCAACAAGAAAAGAAAACTTCAGGCCAATATCCATGATGAACATAGATGCAAAAACCTTCAATAAAATATTGGCAAGCCGATTGCAACAGCAAATCAAAAAACTTATTCATCATGATCAAGTAGAATTCATCCCGGGGATGCAAGGCTGGTTCAACATACGCAAGTCTATAAACATAATTCACCACATAAACAGAACCAAAAACAAAAACCACATGATCATCTCAATTGATGCAGAGAAGGCATTTGACAAAATTCAACAGCTCTTTATGCTAAAAACCCTCAATAAACTCGGTATCGATGGAACGTATCTCAAAGTAATTAAAGCTATTTATGACAAACCAACAGCCAATATCATACTGAATGGGCAAAAACTGGAATCATTCCCTTTGAAATCTGGCACTAGACAAGGATGCCCTCTCTCACCACTCCTATTCAATATAGTACTGGAAGTTCTAGCCAGAGCAATCAGGCAAGAAAAAGAAATAAAGTGTATTCAAATAGAAAAGGTGGAAGCCAAATTGTCTATATTTGCAGACGACATGATAGTATACCTAAAAGACCCCATCGCCTCAGCCCAAAAACTCCTGAAACTGATAAGCAACTTCAGCAAAGTCTCAGGATATAAAATCAATGTGCAGAATCACAAGCATTTCCTCTACACCAATGACAGACTTAAAGAAAGCCAAATCAAGAATGAACTGCCATTCACAATTGCTACAAAAAGAATAAAATACCTTGGAATACAACTCACAAGGAATGTAAGGGACCTCTTCAAGGAAAACTACAAACCAATGCTCAACGAAATAAGAGAGGACACAAACAGATGGAGAAACATTCCATGTTCATGGTTAGGAAGAATTAATATCGTGAAAATGGCTATACTGCCCAAAGTAATTTACAGAATCAACGCTATCCCCATCAAGCTACCATTGACTTTCTTCACAGAACTGGAAAAAACCACCATGAACTTCATATGGAACCAAAAGAGAGCCCGCATAGACAAGTCAATTCTAAGCAAAAAGAACACAGACGGGGGCATCACCCTACCAGATTTCAAACTATACTACAAGGCTACAGTAATCAAAACAGCATGGTACTGGTACCAAAACAGAGATATAGACCAATGGAACAAAACTAAGGCACCAGAGGCAACACAACATATCTACAACCATACAATCTTTGATAAACCTGACAAAAACAAGCAATGGGGAAAGGATTCCCTGTTTAATAAATGGTGTTGGGAAAACTGGCTAGCCATGTGCAGAAAGCAGAAACTGGACCCCTTCCTGACACCTTACACTAAAATTAACTCCAGATGGATTAAAGACTTAAACATAAGACCTGGCATGATAAAAACCCTAGAAGCAAATCTAGGCAAAACTATCCAGGACATAGGAGTAGGCAAGGACTTCATGAACAAAACACCAAAAGCATTGGCAACAAAAGCCAAAATAGACAAATGAGAACTAATGAAACTCCACAGCTTCTGCACAGCAAAAGAAACAGTCACTAGAATGAATTGGCAAACAACAGAATGGGAAAAAATTTTTGCAGTTTACCCATCTGACAAAGGGCTGATATCCAGAATTTACAAAGAACTCAAACGGATTTACAGGAAAAAAACAAGTCCATTCAAAAGTGGGCAAAGGATATGAAAAGACACTTTATGAAAGAAGACATATATGAGGCCAACAATCATATGAAAAAATGCTCATCGTCACTGGTCATCAGAGAGATGCAAATCAAAACCACATTGAGATACCATCTCACGCCAGTTAGAATGGTGATCATTAAAAAATCTGGAGACAACAGATGCTGGAGAGGATGTGGAGAAAAAGGAACACTTTTACACTGTTGGTGGGAGTGTAAATTAGTTCAACCTTTGTGGAAGACAGTGTGGCGATTTCTCAAGGCCTTAGAAATAGAAATTCCATTTGACCCAGAAATCCCATTACTGGGTATATATCCAAAGGACTATAAATCGTTCTACTATAAGGACACATGCACACAAATGTTCGTTGCAGCACTGTTTACAATAGCAAAGACCTGGAATCAACCAAATGCCCATCGATGATAGACTGGATTGGAAAAATGTGGCACATATACACCATGGAATATTATGCAGCAATCAGAAATGATGAGTTCGTGTCGTTTGTAGGGACATGGATGAAGCTGGAGAACATCATTCTCAGCAAACTGACACAAGAACAGAAAATGAAATACCGCATATTCTCACTCATAGGCGGGTGATGAAAAATGAGAACACATGGACACAGGGAGGAAAGTACTAAACACTGGGGTCTATTGGGGGGAAAAGGGGAGGGCCAGTGGGAGGGGGAGGTGGGGAGGGATAGCCTGGGGAGAAATGCCAAATGTGGGTGAAGGGGAGAAAGGAAGCAAAACACACTGCCATGTGTGTACCTACGCAACTGTCTTGCATGTTCTGCTCATGTACCCCAAAACCTAAAATGCAATAAAAAATTTAAAAAAAAAAAAAAAAGAAGGAAGCAGTTCAACCAAAGCTGAAATACTTAGGGGCAGTTTCTTAGAGGGCAGAGAAGGTGAGGTGATGGAATAATGGGCAGTCATTAAACAAGCATGGTGAGAAGAGGGAGAAATTCAAGTAATAAAATCATAATTGAAAAACATCAAGGTAGTTGATGCACATAGATCCACCCTAAAAAGGCTAATGTTTTCTATGACCAAGTATTTTCTATAGTCTATCATTAGTCTAAAATTTTGAATTCAAACTGTGCTGGTAGGCAACAGCAATTGTGTTGTCATATTAGTTTTTCAAATAAAGTTTGTTGCATATATTTGAGGTTTATGATATAATGTTATATGATATGTATATGATTACTTTAGTGAAGCATCTCACACACTTTTGTGTGTGATAAGAGCAGCTAAGAATCTATTTATTTAACAAAACCCCCTAATACAGTTCTTTTTTATTGCATTATTGATTAAGTTTTTCATTACATTTAGTTTGAGTAAACAGTAGGCTGATAATTTTTATTGTGTGTTTTGTGGTATTTTCATGTATTCTTCACATAAAACATGGTGAATCAAGGAAAATGATAATGCTATTTTACTTTGCAATTTACTAACAGTTCTTTGTGCATTGTCTTTTGTTTGGAGTCACACACTTAAGAATAAACATTTTAAAAAAGGAACATATAAATTATGAAAATCAATCAGAATGACAAAAGGACCCAAAACCCTGTTACATATGAAATACTTGAAAAAAATAGAGAATTGGAGCAAGAGACAGAAAAGATTTGGGCTGTCATTTGGAAAAGAAAAGAAAAGGAAGCAATTGGGTGGAAATTACAGATATAGATATAGACTCAGTTGAAAGTAAGAACTAACAGGAGCTGTTAGGATGAAATGTGATGCCCCAGAAGGCAGAGTATATTCCATCACCAGAGGTGTTTAAGGAAAAATGAGACAAGCCTCTGTCTAGAAAACTCAGAGTGATTTATCTGGGTGACTTCTAAAGTCTCTTCCAGCTGCAAAAATCTGATTCTTTCATCCACTCTGAAGTTAGACTGTCCTACGAACAAGACCGGTCGTGAGCATCTTTTACAACAACAGTAAGGAAACATCATTCTTCTCCAAACTTAATTATTTTAAATGTTGCTGTAACTCCCTAAATTTATGTTTTATTTCATTCTTGTTTGTTAAAAATCTCAAAAACATTTCAATTCAAAATAGTTGAATGCTTATTATTTTCCCATATTCATGAGTTCTTCAATAAAATGTTTCTAACATCTTAAAAGTTTTCCATCCTCTGATAAACAGCCCTAACATATTTCACATGTATGAGGTCCAGAGTGTATATTTAATCCCAAGGAGAGAAAAGAGCTGCTTTTGGGAAGTGCCAGTGTTCTTTTAGGCTGTCACCACAACATTAATGAAGAACATGAGAGTTAAGAACACCATCTTTGGCTTTGAACAGATGTGGATTCCCATCAGGCTGTGCTGCTGACACAGCTACGTGAACTTCTGCCACCCAACCTGCCTGACCGAGCTTCTGTTTCTTCATCTGTAAGACATAGATGATATCACTGCCTATTTTGTAATGTTATTGTATATTAAATACTATAACATACACAAAGCACCTATCATCCTTTCTAACTTACAGTAATCATTCAATATGTGTTAGCTGCTATCATTACTGTTGCTATTACTCTTAAAGGTCAACTCAAGAATATAAAATAATTTTTTTACATTTTACAAAGTCAGCAAAAATGTTATCTAGGAGTTTCTTAGTCCAGTACTCACCTGGGTAGCAGTTCTTACAATCTGGGGGAAAAAAATCAACTTTTGCTTTGTCTTTATTTTGAATTTTATAACAAGTTTTTGATCTATGTAAAAAGAGGCAAATTTTCAACATAAAAAACTTTCAAAATTGATATCATAAATAGAGTTACACCTGACATTATCATAATAAATTTGGAGAAATACATTGTGCTTAGTCCCTCTGTGTGACCTAAAAGTTACACTTACTCTCAGCATGTTACATAGTATTTTGTAGTATTTATCAAGTATAATTGCCATATACCATGAATGTTAATTACGTTTAAAAACATTAATAAGGTTATATTTTACTCAATTACTCTGTTAAGCTAAAAGCATTTGTCCAAATTTTCTACACAATGTTTGAACAGAAATGAGATTACTCAGTTTCTAAAAATAGTATGCATAATCACATGCTTCCATTAATGAATTCATGTTCAGAAGCAGAATAGAAAAAGTTCAAAACGTACCTATTTTCTCTGAATTTAGCAGAAATATTTTCCAAAGAACTTTGAAAATTTTCAGAAATTAATTTATCACAAATTGTATATATTAAATTTATATAAGAGCCATCACATGTATATATATCATATATTATATAAATATATGTATTATATATGTGTGTATACATACATCTATGTCTTCCATCAGCATACCAGTTTGGTATCTGTGCTTTCAGTCCTCCCTTTTTTCCTCCCCAATCTTAATATAATGTATAAAGAATTTGCCCCAGTTTGATTCAGCCACTTTCTAGAAAGGCTTATTTTATAAATACACATGTAGCCATTTTTCCCTCAAATTCAATGTGTTTTATGAACAAACGCTTCCTTCTAAAAGGGTGTGAACAGCAAAAGAGGAGCTGTTTTAGTCCACTAGGTAATAACATTTCTTTCCGACAAATTAATTAGCCAATTTTTATAATATTATTGTAAATAGATATGTGAAACAATGTCATGGCTAATTTTTAAACACTAAAATGGAAGCAATAAAAAGGAAGAAAAGATGAAAGAGGAGAAGGAGAAAGTGTAAAGGAGCAGAAGATGTATTCTACTCCATACAATAAATAAAAAGAAAAATTCAGATGATAACCCAAGGCTAATGTCTTCTGACTTTGCATTTTATTTAATAGTTCATTCACTCTTAATGTAATATGAACATTTTATGTAGTAATGGCTACAATTTTCTAAGCCTTTGATTGTAACCAAAAGAAGATCTAAATTGGCACCTTAAACTTTATGCCATTAATGTTATTTTTCAACTCAGTAACTGTATTTTCTAATTCAGGGAGTCATAGACCAATATATAAGAAATATTCATGAAAAACAAAGTACTCAGGCCAAAAAAAAAAAAAATACATAGAGTAAAAACTCTAATGAAGTAGTTGTAAAAATCCTAAAACCAATTCTGAATACTAGGAACATTTCAGATTCTTGGAAGGAAGAAGGGAAGAAGGGAAGAAAGAAAGGAAGGGAGGGAGGAAGGGAGGAAGGGAGGGAGGGAAGGAAGGAAGGAAGGCGGGCAGGCAAGAAGGAGGGCAGAAAGGCAGGCAAGCAGGCTAAGTGAATAGCATCATTACTTTAAGCAAAAATGTACCAACTATTACAAGAAAATTAAAAACTATTCTTGCAAGTCTCAGGAAGATTGATCGGGGTTCAACAGAATGTGAAGAAACAAGGTGCTCCAAAGCCTTGAAAGTGAGCGCAGAGATCGAGAGCCTGAACCTTGGAGCTACAAAGGCCTGAGTGATATTGAGGGTCCACCACTTTCTAGGCACAAAAAAGCCATGCAAGTCCTCAGTGTCTCTGATCCTTAGTTTCCTGTTCTGTAAGATGAGAACAATTGGACTTGCCTCTTAGGGTTGTGATAATGAATAAAAAATACTTAGCAGAGTATCAGGCTAACTATCAATTATCAGTCAATAAGGTCATTAAAACTAAGATCTCTCAAGCAAGATAGATGGCCATTTTACTGCTTATTCAAGGATAACTAAATGTAGTACCTGCTTCCAAAGAGAATGACTCTGAGGATTTCAGAGAAGATGCCGTGTTCTGACAGTCCATAAAGCAGGGCAGAGGAAAAGGAAACAGAAAAAATTGCCTGTACCACAAAAATGCCTAGTTCCAGCTCCACATTTTATTAGCATACCGAGAGAAGTTTAAAGTAACCTGATAAAGTAGTTCTTATAATGGGATTTTTCTCACATCATTTTAACAATACCTTTCAACCATCAAGTAAACACATACATTTGGAACCTAGTCTACCACAAAGAGCAGATCAGGAGGGAAAATAGTTTTTCCATGTTGTCAATCCAAGAAGTCATTAGATGAGATGATGTCAGTAGTTCTTGAGACGTGCCATGGATATAAAAATTATCATTTTATAGACACTTACTTGAACATTTTAATGCTGCTTTGTCAGAATCAGAAGTTAAGAATTTTTTTCAGAAAACTTCAGAATAAAATAAATGAGCTCCCTTCAGAGCTGATAATGTTGCCTAAGGAAAGAGTGGTGCAATTGTTGATTAGGCACATTGAAATTTAAGAACTGTGCAAAATATTTTATATATAAATAAATGTCTCAGATGCATGAGATGATTTTTTTTCAAAAAGTCAACCTTCATGCCAATCACTTTGTCTTTCAATTTTACTTTCTGGATTCTATCAAAACTTTAGCCTTACAAATAGAGCCTCTAGTAAATATATTTTATTAAATGAGCAACAATCTTATAAGCTAACTATTACAAATATTAAATTAATCATAGTAAAATGACACAGAACTAAGTCACTCAGAGCCATGCAGCCCCTATGTTGTTACAGGAAAGAATTAACCATACTGGGTTTGAATACTGAACACACCTTTCATTACCTCTAATATCTGACACATTAAGCTCTCTGAACTTGTTATTTGTTGAGTGGGGATGAAAACAACTACTTGCAAAGTTGCTGTGAGAATATGCAAAATTCACGTGGAGAGCTGGCACTTGTAGGCCCTCATTTGTCATCACACCTTGTATTTCCAAGGCCATTTTGCTGCTTAAAACAAGTTTTGGAATTTATGGATTGTTTATTGCCACAGGTGTTCTCCCATTGTCCAGGCTAAGGGACTCTCCATCTTTGAAACAGATGCAGATTTAAAATAACTGAAAATTTTAATAGCATGAATCATCCCTGTCAGGATACTAGACTGGCGACTGGCAATTAGGACTCCAGATCAGTTAGGATCCTGCAGATATCTACTGAGTAGGTACTCCTGCAAATGAGAGTTGAAAATCAAAAGTCAAGGCTTGGTGTAAGCAATGGGCCAGGAACTCAGAAAGGGCTCAGATTCACTGGCTCAGAAATGAAGGTAGAAAAAAGTTACGCTAGTGGGGAAGAGAAGTTGTTCCATTTTTATCTGAAATAGTCCTGAGACTTTTATTCTAAAGATCCTAGGCAGATTCACAAGGATCCACACTGTCTCTAGATTTTCCTTTTGTTATTCAATGAACATAATATTGCCATATCTTTTAGCTTCTTCATTGGATGAAATAATTTACTGCAGTTCTATTGATGCTCCAACTATTAAATTGTTTAAAAGTCTCCAAGTTGGAACTTTGCTCTGTTTTTTCCAGCAACGGCTCATGATTTTGTTATAATCTCTCTCACAACTCAGGGGCAATTGCCCAGTTCATCCCTCAATCTAGAAGATATATATTATTCTTTTTTTACTTTCTAAAAATTCAATTCTCTATCCCACCATCTGCTAGTTGCTTTCCTTTCCTGGTCATAATTAATAAATTGTAAATTTTAAATTAGGCCCATCTCAGCTACTTCTTCTTAGCAACATCTTAGCAATGACTCTCTGTAGGAGCTTGGTAAAAATATTTCTTTAGAAATGACCCCAAGTAAAAATGTAATAGTTACTAAGTAGTAAAATGCAAATCTTCAAACTGGTTATGTTTTAGATAAAAACTGAAGCTGTAAGCCAGGAATAGTGGCTCATGCCTGTAATCCCAGCATTTTGGGAGGCCAAGGCAGGCAGATCGCCATAGTTCAAGAGCTCGAGACCAGCCTGGCCAACATGGCAAAACCCTGTCTCTACTAAAAATACAAAAACAAAAACAAAAAACCAATAGCTGGGTGTGGTGGCAGGTGCCTATAATTCTAGCTACTCAGGAGGCTGAGGCAGGAGAATCGCTTGAACCTGGGGGGCGAAAGGTTACAGTGAGCTGAGATCATACCACTTTGCTCTAGCCTGGGTGAAAGGGCAAAACTCCACCTCAAAAAAAAAAAAACCTGAAGCTGTAAAGATATATATAACTAGAAACTCCTATTAATTTAATGAAAAAGCCAAGAACCAGAACTAGCACCTAGGTCTTTTGATTCTTGTTTAATTTTTGCATTATACCATGTGCTTCTCCTCTTAAAAGTTCAGTGTAATCTGACAAAATGCAGAATGTTTTAAATAGTATTACATAGAAATTTGGGGGTGGGAAGTTGTGTTAATTCCATCAGCTAGGCTCAGTTGAAATAAATGAAAACATCTAGATATCAAATTCATAAAGGTCGGTGAGGTGTGGGAAGAGGATGGTTGATTTGAGTCAACTCATTAAATCACAAAGCTGCATCCTTTATGTACTCCATCAAGACAACACTTTGTGAATCATCTAATATTATCTCCAACCATCAGATCACAAATCTCTATGTAAAAGGGGAAACTATTATCCTATTTCTACTTGCAAATACTAATTGCACAATAATGACATTTACATAATGAGTCAGTGAGACAGTGGAACAAAAAAAGTCAGTTAAAAATGTGATTAAACAGGCACACAGTCCTCACAATAATAGTTTTGTATGACTGACAGCAAACATGTTCACACACTGCCAAAGAATAACCTATAGAGGTTTATTAAGCTGAGTTCTATCCAATGGAAGATATAAGATTAGCATTGTGAGATGTGGATCTTGCATTCTTATCAGGGTTGCAAAGTTAAACAATGTAGAATAATTTAAGAACTTCATAAGCACTCTAATTCTAAAGTGTGGATACAGGTATGAAGTACTCCAACTCACCTAGCAGTTGAAATTAAATTATCTATTAAGATTTCTGTCCTAAGAGATTTATTTTAAGGAACTGGGACTTGGGTCATGTCATTGTGGGGTCTGTTAAGTCTGAAATTGATAGAACAGGCTAGCAGATTAGAAATTCAGGTGACAGCTGATCTTGTAGTCTTGAAACCAAATTCAGCTCAAGGAGGATTTTTATGTTGCAGTCTTGAGAATTCCTTCTTTAGAAAACTTCCGTCTTTGCTCTTAAGGGCTTCAGCTGATTAGATAAGACCCACCCACATTGTGGAGAATAACCTGCTTTACTCAAAGTAAACTGATTTAATGTTGATCACATCTTAAAAATATCATCAGAAGAAGATCTATACTGTTGCTTGACCAAACAGCTAGACCCCATAGCCTAGCCAAGTTGATACAAATTGAAAAATCACAATTATAGACAATAATAAAAGAAATAAGTACATATAAGGAAAAACACGCTCATCATAGTATTTTCCACAGTATGCATTTTAAAAACATGGCCCCAAAATTCTTTGACCTTCCTCTTATTAAAACGTTGCAGGGAGCTCTGTCTCTCCATGTGGCTTGAACTCTCACAGCATTGTGGCTAGGTCCAAAGTGTGAGTATCCCACGAGGAAATTTCTGAGATGCATTTTAAGCTCCACTTTAGGAGAAAATTGTGTGACATTTTATGACTAGCCTCAGAAGTCACATAATGTGTTGGTTGGTTCTGAATGCTGTGTTGGTTGATCCAGCTACAAGCATTCCCTGACACAAAAAAAGGAGGAATAAATCCCACCTTTCTCTGGGAGGAGTATCAGAGAATTTGGGGCCCACATTTTTAAACTGCCACAATTAATTAACATTAATTGAGCTGCTACTGTGTCTCAGGCTGTGCGATCAACTTTTATGTATTTCATTTAATACCCAACCTCGCTGAAATGTGATCATTACATGTAAGTAAACTGAACGAGAAATATTAAAACTTCCCAAACTCACACAGCCAGCAAAGTGGCAGAGACAATGTTTTAACCTAGGCAATCCGACTCTAAAACCCACACATTTTGTATGACACAACCCTGTCTCCTATTTTTAAAAGAAAGAAAGAAAAATAAAATCAAAGTTAATAAGGATTTTCTTTATTGCCACCTCAAGTGGACATTTTTGTTTAGGCCTGCCCACCATTCATTCATTCTTCTGATCCTGAAGACCACAGGCAAATCAGAAAATGTCTCCTGTCTAAGCAGATGCAGGCTCTGTGGATCAGGCCTTGGCAAGTGGAGCTCAGACGGATTTCAGATCCTAGTTACTATTTAGCTAGGCACCTTCCTGCAGTGAGCCTCCTGCACATGTTGGCCTTGCCCCAAACCACTCTCACTTTTGGTAGAGGTAAACAGGGCCCACCTACACTCCAGCTGCAACATGTGACCCAGTCTGCCTAATGAGATCCATGTCAGGGCTCATGTTGAAACCGTTAGAGAAGAAAGTTATTTTCTTTTTGCAGAAACTTTAGCAGTAGGGTAATATAAGGGAAGAGCAGCTAGGCGCCACCCTACAACGCTTGAAATGAAACCTCCTTAGAGGAAAACAGGACAGAGAGAGAGAGAGGATGGGGCTGGATAAGGATCCAGCCTTAATTGAAGCCAGGCCTATCCCTGGACTCTGCAGACATTTGAGTGAATAACCACCCCACTTTTATTTTCATTTAAAAACAAGTTTATGTTGAATTTATGACACTCATAATCAAGTATCTGAACTGATATATCTCCATGGTCGTAACTTCACTTTCTTTATTAAAAAAAGAAAACAGAAAATACTGGAAAATTCTTTCTAGCTCAGCAAGTGGTTCAACTAATGGTCTCTTCGTATGTATATTGGAGATACATGTCTGCATATATAGAGAGAGAGAGAAGGAAAAAGAGAGGGAGTGGGGAGAGAGAGAGAGAGAGAGAGAGAGAGAGAGAGAGAGAGAGAGAGAGACGTGTGTATTTCTATATACTTAGGTCTTAATTTTCTCATCTTTACAACTAGAATGTAGAACTACAGTGTCTTCAGTTTCTTTCCAACGCTGACTCTGATATTCTATGGATAAAGGCAGAAAACATCCTAATTTATTCCTGTTCAGATTACCGAACAGCTCTGTAGCACTGCCACCTGGTGACCATTTGCTTCAGCTGTTGTATTAGTCTGTTTTCACGCTGCTGATAAAGACAAACCCAAGACTGGCAGGAAAAGGAGGCTTAATTGGACTTTCAATTCCACATGGCTGGGGAGGCCTCAGAATCACAGTGGGAGGCAAAATGTACTTCTTACATGGTTGTAGCAAGAAAAAATGAGGAAGAAGCAAAAGCAGAAACCCCTGATAAATGCATCAGATCTCCTGAGACTTATTCATTACCATGAGAAAAGCATAGAAAAGACCAGCTCTTACTTAATTACCTGCCCCTGGGTCCCTCCCGCAACACATGGGAATCCTGGGAGATACAATTCAAGTTGAGATTTGCATGGGGACACAACCAAACCATACCATTTCTCCCCTGGCCCCTCCAAATCTCATGTCCTCACATTTCAAAACCAATCATGTTTTCCCAACAGTCCTCCAAAGTACTAACTCACTTCAGCATTAACCCAAAAGTCCATAGTCCAAAGTCTCAACTAAGACGAGACAAGTCCCTTCAGCCTATGAGCCTGTAAAAACAAAAGCAAGTGAGTTACTTTCTAGATACAATGGGGGTACAGCCATTCCATATGGGAGAAATTAGTCAAAACAAAGGGGTTACAGGCCTCGTGCAAGTCCAAAATCCAGCGGGGCAATCAAAGCTCCAAATCAATCTCCTTTGACTCCAGGTTTCACATCCAGGTCATGCTGATGCAAGAGGTGGGTTCCCATCATCTTGAGCAGCTCCACCCTTGTGGCTTTGCAGGGTACAGCCTCCCTCCCAGCTGCTGTCATGGGCTGGCATTGAGTTTCTGTGGCTTTTCCAGGCAAATGGTGCAAACCATGGGTGGATCTACCATTCTGGGGGCTAGAGGATGGTGGCTGTCTTCTTACAGCTCCAGTAGGTGGTGCCCCAGTAGAGACTGTGTGTG